AAAAAGCAACTGCACCTCCACGGGGTCCCCCTGTATGCACCCTGGGCCACATCATTGCTCTCCTCAGTCACAGGCTCCTTCTCAGGATGGTGTCCCTGCGGCACATCTCTCCTGGGAGCCAGTGAGCATCCCCGCCACAGAATGGCCACAGCTGTCCTCTGTGAAGTGCATGGCACCCAGTGAGGCTCTGGTGGCTGCGGCCAGTGAGTGGGACAAAAAGGCCCACATGCTCCTCAACACCCTGGGCCTGGGCGCAGCCAGCACAAGACCTGGCTCCTGGGCATGAGGGTCTCACCATCTGCTGTCCCTGTGCTGCCGGCAGGGGGGCCAAGGGCATGCGAGGGAGGTCACCTGTCCAGGGTCGCTGGGCAGCCGGCAGGTCCTGTGTCCCAGCACAGCTGGCACCTCAAGTCCAAGGAGGAAGGAGACCTTGGAGGCCACCTGGCTCCCCGAGTGGCTGGTCCCGTAGCAGAGAAACTGCTGCTATTGCAGGAAGGCCAGCCCGGGAGGACACCCAGAGGGCAGGGGCTGCAGAAGCCTCATGGGTGTCACCTGAGGAGGCTGCTGCAGCCTGGGAGGCAGCCCCTGAACACACATACTGAACACCCCGCCCTCTGAGCTGGGAAGCCCCAAGAGAACCCAACCCTGGGTGACGCGGGGAGAAAGAGGTCTCTTCAGGTCGCACAGGGGGCAGCTGCACCGTGGACAAATGCTGGGGCCGAGGGGGTCAGAGGAATTGAGGTTTTCATCCCAGATCTGCCACATCCTGGCTGTGCAACCCTGTGTAAAAATTCAATTTCTCCATGCCTCACTTTCCTCATGCATGAAACGGGGCTAGGAGGGCACCTACCTTCAGGATGGCTATAAGGTGACAACCAGTAAGCATCAGTCATTATCAACCTCCAAAGACCTGTTGCCTGACGTCTGACTGAATCTGCTCAGCCATAGGTAAGGCTCCTTCACCCCTCAGCAGATATCACCATCCCAGTTAGACAGGTAGAAAAATAGGGGCTCAGAGAGGTTAAGATGGTAGCCCATGGTCACACAGCAACTAGAGGCAGAACCAGCCCCAAGTCTGTCTCACTTGGGTGCCCAGCGCTGTGCATGGAGCCACACAGCACTTTCCCATGAGGCAACTGGTGCAGTCTAGCACTGGCATTTCCAAGCCAGGTGCCTCCCAGCTAAGAGCACAACCCAATGCCTGGGCCAGGCAGAGAGCATGCTGACATTTGGGAGAGTCGACCTTTCCTGCCCTGGCTGCCAGGCTCTGAGAGGTCCCTGCTGCTGCCACTGTGGCCCTCTGAGTCAGGCGGTGACTCAGGACCCAGCTCAGGGCCGGCGAGGAGCTGAGTCAGGAGCACCAAGCTTCAAAGGCCAGCAGGCCTGGGCTCTCAGCATAGGTACACAGCTGAAGACCACCCGTGGGGGGGTCACCTGGCCCACCCCGTGCCTGCTGGGCAGGACAGCAGCTCCCACTCCGGGCTCGGCTCTCCTTGGGTGTGGCAGCACCCCTGCAGGGGCTGGGCACGTAAGGTCCTTTCTGGTCATGTGATCAGAGAACACTGCTAATGCTGAGTGCCCAAGTCAGGAGCTCCAGACGTCCTGTGGTGTGCAGGACAGCCCAGGCCACACAGCACCAGCAGGCCCTGCTAAGGGTACTGGGCCAAGCACTCCCCTTGACACTTCTCTCACTGTGGAGCACCAGGCTAAGCACTGCCCTGACCCGCCTCCCACTGAGGCCAGGTGGGAGGCAGGACAGGACCCTGGGCGGGGAAGGATCTCAGAGGCTCCACACCTGATGCAGACACCCCCACCACACACACACACACACACACACACACACACACACACACACAGTCTCCTGGCCCTGAGGCTCCCCGGCTTCCCCTGGAGTCCCTGCTGCAGTGGACGCCAAGGTCCTCTCTGCTCCTTGGCTCCTCTCTACCTGGCCCGACCCGGCTCTGCAACCTCAGCTGCACATGGCCAGCATCACTGTCCAATTCCCAGACACAGCGCCACAGCCGCCAGGTCTCAGTCTCACTCTTTAGAGCACAGACTTCTTCAATCTCCAGATGGCAGAAGACTGGATTTCAGTGTCACTGAGGCTTAAATCTTAACTCTGAACCCTCAGGCTCGCTCTCAGAAGACTTTGTGTCCCAGATCTGGCGCGGCTTGGGGATCATCACATCCCTGGTCTGACGATTGGGCTCAGGCCTGAGCCACCTCCAGCCCCAGTCCTGGCCCAGCCCGCCATGGGACTCCAGAGAGCTTGGGCTCTCACCAGGCACAAGCCATGCCCAGCTCAGCCCGGGACCCTTCTTCCCCTCCCGGCCAGCCCCATCGTTGTCCCCAACCCAGATCATGGCCCCCTGAGGGTGGAGCCAAGAGAGGCGGAAGGGGACAGCAATGCCAGGGTTCTGGGGCATTGCATCGAGCCCCTCCTTTTTAGGGGGAGGCACTGGGCCCTAAGAAAGGGGACCACTCAAAGTCACACATGTGGTATGAGACCAGCCAGACCCACAGGAACCCAAACAAATCAGACTCCCATGGCAGGGCCACCCTCAGCCCAGGGTGGCACTGAGAGGCGACGGGACTAACTCAAGGCCACATAGCACCCAAGTGGCAGAGGCTGAACCCACTCTTATCACCTGCCCCCCTTCCCGGGAGCTCCCTGACACCAGCTTCTCAGTCCTCTGTGTCCCCAGTGAGACATCTCAGAGGGCCCGAGATCTCCCCAGGCAGTCCCACAGGAGGAGCACAGAGCCTGTGCGCACCCAGCTCTGCCTTCTTCCCCAAGCACCCCATTTCCAAGAGTGGGGAGACCCAGGCCCCCCATCACCTCCACCTGCACTCAAGTGTGGCTGCACCCCGGTTTCCTAGGACCAGTCTCACCACCCCCACCTGCCTCCCCAGCATCCCAGTGTGAGCCCCACCGCTCCACTCACCTGCCTTGGTGGCCTTGAACACCAGCACCCCAGCCCCTGGTGGGCTCTGTTCAGTGGCCCCCAGCCACAAGGCCACCACAGCCTGAATCCCAAAGCCCCTCCTCACTGGCCTCCCAACAGCTCCCTCTATGACCCCAGCACCGCCCCCAGCTCCAGTCTTGGCTTTCAGCATTGCAGCTCCCACTGACTCTGAACCAGGAAGGCTCCTCTGCAGTCTGCAAAACCCAACAAGGCCCCTGCCCTGCTCCAGCCTCCCTCCCTCACTTCTACTCCAGCAGCCCCACGGTGCCCAGCTCCCAGCCTCGGCCTTCTCCTGCTGTACCCCCACTTGGAGTCCTCTCCTCATCTGACCACCTCATTCCTCAGTGCAACTCCACCAACACGCAGGCTCCCTGGGCTCCCTCCCCAGTCATCTGACAGCACCCAGACTTTACAGCTGATGTGACTACACATGGCGGGGCCAAGGAGCCTCCCTGAGGAGGTAACACCAAAGCTGTGATTTGAAGGAAGCAGTAATGGCTTCGGCCAGGTTCAGAGCCCAGGAAAAAGCATTTCAGAGGGGGAAGAGTGGGTGAGGAGCCCCTGAAGCCCAGCAGAGCACAGGGAAGCAGAGTGGGTAAACTGAGGCTGGAAGGGGGTGTGTAGGGCCTGCTGGGGTGGGCTAGGACTTTGCTTAGAACCCCCTGGGTCCTACTATGGTTTGAATGGGTCCCCCAAAGTTCACAAGCTGGAGACTTAATCCCCAGAGCATGGGTGTTGGGAGGCAGGGCCGTTAGGAGGGATTGGCTGGGGGCTCAGCCCCATTAACGGGCGGATGGCATGCAGAAACCCACTCACCACGGAGACGATGTTGTCCTAATGGCCAGGGCGGCCTCTGCTTCCCTCCCTCCCACCCCTGCCTGCACTGTGCAGCACAAGAAACAAAAGTCTGCCGGCCCCACACCTTAATGGGGATCAAACCCAGGGCTCCAGGGCCCCATGCACATGTGCCAAGCGACCCTACTATGGGGCAACACCCTCAGCCCCTTATTTTATTTTGAGTCAAGGTCCTGCTAAGTTACCCAGGAGGGGCTCAAACTTGCCATCCGCCTGCCTCAGTCTCCCAAGTAGCTGGGATTACACATGGGTGCCACAGCACTGGGCTCTGGGCTCTGGCCTCCAGAAGGTACCCATTTCAGGGGTGCCGTTGCCACAACACAGAGAGTATGAGGGTGAGTCTTGAGCAGGGGTCACTTGAGTATACCGGGGACTGTGGCAGGACACCTGTGCGGACGCTGCCCTCTGCCACCTCCTGGCTCCGGACAGAGCTGCAAGGGCCATCCGCTGCCCCAGCCCCTGCCCACAGGTCTCCCCATCAGAGCTGTCCTCGCTGCGGTCACCACCCATCCATGGCTCAGTCACCGAGAGCAGCACCAGGGCTGACTTATCTGCAGCCCCCACACAGAGCCATGCCAACTTCCACAACCTGCTCCTCAGTCCAACCTCTATACCCACTCCTCACCACCAAGGCCCAGCAGCCTCGCTCCAGGCCTTGGGCCTCACGAGGGAGACATCAAGAGAACAGCCCCCCATTCCAGCTTCCTCTCGAACTCCAGTGGCTTAAATATCAAGTGTCCCCCAGACTCACATATTGATCCCCAATGCAGCACAACTCGCCCATTAATAATTGATGAGTGCCCAGCTGAATGGGAGATGAGGAGCCAGGCCCCAACTGGAGAAAGTGGGTCTCCAGAGTCTTCAAAGTGTCTACCATGTCCCCTGTTCCTTCCTCTCTCTTTTCTGGCTCTTTCCCTCTCTCCTTGCTTCCTGCCTGCCATGAGGTGAGTAGTTTTTCTCCACCACACCCTTCCACCATGATGTTTCTGCCTCACACAGGCCTAAAAGCCATGGAGCCATCAACCATGGACTGAAACCTCTGAATCTGTGAGCCAAAGCAAACCTCTTTTCCTCTAGGTCATTTTTCTCAGGTATTCTGCCTCAGCAATAGAAAGCTGACCAAAGTACTCACTCCCGGCCCTGGGCAGCACCTGATCTGTCAGTCCACACAAAGGATATGGGTTGCACACCATCTTGATGCACCAGTTCCGGGGGCTAGTAGTCTGTCGAAGGCAGAAGAAGGCAACGGGTGCCAGGTCCGGGTGTGGGACATCAGGATCGGCTCCATCCAGGGGCTCCTCCAGGCCTGGAGGGGATGGAGGGGGGCTCTGGGGCCCCGGCTGCTCTGTGATCCCTGGCTCCAAGGCCGGTGCTGCCGCTGCAGATGAGGAGGGTGGCGAGGTGCTCTCAGCCATGTCAGCGCCGCACAGGAAGCCCTGGGGGACCTAGAGGGAGCAGCACGTGGGGGTCAGCCCTGGCACCTCCTCCCTCACCAGCTTCCAGCCACAGGGACACGGTTCTGACAGCCCAGCCTCATATCCCCAGAGGCCTCTCATCCTTGCCCTGCCCACAAGGGTTGGGGAAGTATAGGGGCCCCTAGGTGTGAGCTGGAATCTAGTCCCAGGCTGGGGGGCTATGGCCCAGGTCTGGTCAACTTGTGAGGCTCAGTTTTGTCAAGTGAACAGTAGGGGAAAGAGAACCTACTTAGAATGTAATGGTAAGGTGTTTTTTTTTTTTCCAGTGCTGGAGTTCGAACCCGGAGCCTTGAACATACTAAGCACATGCTCTAACACTAAGCTACACCCCAGTCAATGTTCTTTTTGTTCCCTTTATGAGACCAGAGTTGTGCCTGGTGTGTAGCTCAGAAGTAGTCCATGTACTTAACATGCACAAGGCCCTGGGTTTGATCCCCAGCCCCAAAATGTAAATAAAAAAAAGACTTCTTTGTATTTAGTGCATCATCAAAAGTAAAGAAAACTTGCAAGAAAAAAGAGGCAGTTGTTGGAGATACAGACATGATTAGTCAGGGTGCTGTGGCATCAGCAGGCCAGGAGGGAACACCGGAGGCTTCCCAGAGCAAGGACACCTGGACCCAGGGCACCCCAAGACACTCAGGCACTGCCGCATCAAGCTGAGAAGCTAGGGACCTTCCAGAGCAACTTCTCTGCTCCACAGATGGACAGGCAGAACCAGCAGACCAACATCCCCCAGAACCAATGCATCACAATGGTGTCCCCCAGCCAAGTGGCAACAGCGTTGTCCCCAGTGTGACTGTGCCCATTTGGTAGGTGGAGAAACTGAGGCCCAAGAAGGGAGTGGCTCATTCAAGCTTCACCCTGAGCCAAGAGCGAACCAGGAAGGACTTAGAGGCTGGGAGCCCAGCCCCAGCCCTCTAGATCCACTCAGTGACAAGAGCCAGGGGCCTGGCTGGGCTGGCACCTCACCCAGAGACTACCAGCCCTAAAGACTTGCCTGTGGGATCCCGAAGGCCCTGGAGCCCCAGGCTGGGCAGTGGGATGGACAAGGCCTGGATCCCCAGCACACCTGCTGCTGCTGGCAGCCGCAGGGCTGTTTGCTGAGCACTGCGGCTGATGCATTTGGACGTTTCTCGAGCTCCCAGGAGCAGCAGGCAGGAGTTGGCACTTTCTGCCACTTCGCTCGGCTGGTCAGGGAGACAGAGTTTTCTCCAGAGCTCGAGGGTTTGCTCTTGGTTCCAGAAAAACAGCCACAGGCCTTACATAAGCTCCCAGGAATCTTGGCCAGCCATGTGTCACCCACCCGGGTGGAACACAGCCTCCCTGTGTGGTTCCAGATCTCCCACCACTGCGGCTCACTCTGGCCAAGTAGAACCTCCTCCATCCTTGGGCACTGGCCATCTCCTCCAGCCCTCTGCTCACCCCCTTGCCCTGTTGCTCCAGGCCCTGAAGATTCATTTATTGGTCCAACAAATATTTCCTGCACACCTACTATGTGCAAGCTCTGGGGCTACACTGTGAACAACCCAGACTTAGGACCAGCCCGGGTTCACCAGAGAAAGAGACACCACCACCCTCTTCCAGGTTTCTATAGCTCTGTGATTCAGTGCCCATCATCCTTGGAACACACTAGGTATTCAATAAATATATAGTGGATAAATGAATAAAAAGTGTTGGGAAGCAAATAAACAAGGGAGAAAAGTGGAGAAACATGACCTTAACTTTTCTAAAGGAAGAGACCTTTCAGGGACAGGCAATAAGAATCAGAAGGCACCACCCACCTGTGACCTGGTGGAAGGGCACTTGAGCAGGGAGGAACAGCACGGACAAAAGCCTCAGGGAAGTGAAGGGACAGAAACCAGGCTGGGGGTAGCTCATGCAATGGAGGCAGGGATGCGCTGTCCCCTGGGAAGGGGGTGCTGAAAGGAGTCAGTGGGGGTGAGGCAGGGAGGGAGAAGGAGCTGGGAGATGAGATGCGCCATTCCTTGGAGCGGTGGAAGCACCCAGCCTTGCCTTACACCAGGGTCAGCCCCACCCAGCCTTTCGGAAACCCTAGGAAGAGCTGCTGGGCTCTGGGTTGCATACAAACCCCTCTCCTCACTGTGGGCACTGGGGCCTGATATTTTCACTTGCTTTTGTCTCGCTTGCCCCTGTTGAAATGTGTCATACTCAGCACTCTGGGATGTTGAGGCAGGAGGATTGCAAGTTCAAGCCCAGCATGGACAATTTAGCAACTTAGTGGGACCCTGTCTCAAGATAAAAGATTAAAAGGACTGGACTGGATGAAGCTCAGTGCAGAGGCCCTGCGTTCAATACTCAATACCAGAAAAAAGCAAAACAAACTCTCACACTGTTACTGTCCTCGGTCCCAGCCTCTCCCCTCACTGTAGGGGAAAACCTGGACACCATCACACTGAAGCCACCACCCCGACCCAGTCCTCAGTGACCATCCAGCCTCTGACCTGCTCCCTGGTGACTCCCCAGGCCACCCTCTGAGCCACGCTCCACTCCCCAGCCCCCAGGTCCAGCACAGAGTCCCCTCTTTGCTGCCCGTGCTAAAGCTCCTGCCCCTGCTGCCTGTGTGCCATGGCTGGAAGCCCAGGAGAGCTGGCACCTGGCCCCTAGGTGCTGACTGGCAGCAGAAGGAGCCTCACAGAGACTGGAGGACTCACTTCAGGGGACAGTGTTGGTGGCTTCCATCAGACCCCAGAGCCTGAGCTGCCTCCACATTCCAAGTTGCCTCCCTCTTTTTGTTTTTGGTGGTTTTGTTTGTCTGGGTTGGGTTGGGTTGGGTTCCATTTGGTTTGGGGTTTTTTGTTTTGTTTTGTTTTGGTACTGGGGATCTAACTCAGGACCTTGCACTTGCAAGGCAGGCATGGTGCCACTGAGCTAAATCCCTGGCCTCAGTTTGATGGGGGGGGGGGTTGTTTGTTTTTTTGAGATAAGATCTTGTTATATAGCTCAGGCTAGGCTCAAACTTGCAATCCTCCTGCTTCAGTCTCCCAAGTGCTGGGATTACAGGCATGCACCACCACGTCCAGCTTCTCCCTCTTGATGTTCCCAGGGTTTAACCTTGACATGAGCCTACCAAGCAGTGGTGTGGCAACCACACTGGTCTCCAAAGGTAGGAGTGGGGGGCAGATGCCCACTGTGTCTGAACCCCCTGCCGTTCTGACTCCACCAGCCTCTTGGAGCCTCCGTTTTTCTCACTGTAATGTTTCTTGTTTTGTTTTTTGTTTTTTGATACCAGGGATGGAACTAGGGACCTTCCACTTGCAAAGCAGGAGGCAGAATCTCTGTAATGTTTAGCCCTCCTGTGTGCTCCAGCAGACCCTCTGGAAGAGGCAATGCGAGGTGAATAGGATGCACTCTGGGACCCATGAAAGCAGGGGCCTGCAAATGGATGAAGTCAACTGTGCCATCCCCAGGGGCTGCTACCCAGCCCTCCCTCCCCCATCACCACCATCATTACCATCATCATGATCAACATCACCACCTCACCATCATCACCATCAGGCAATGGCGAAAAAGCTCCTGGTATCATCTGTGTCAACTCTTGCCTCAATGCCATGACAGTATTCCTTCATGAAGGAAGAGACCAGAAGCCAGGAGAATCCAGCCGTGACCAAGGTCACCCAGCTGGCCTGGGGCAGAGGGGGCAGAGGTGGGTCCCTACTCAGTTATCCACACCCCCAGGCCCAAACACTAAACCATTACAGTCTCCAACCTGGATCAGTGTCCTGGAACCAGGTACCCAGGTCACAGGCCTCCCCTCCAGGCTAAGTCATTAGGCAGGAGAAACCCAGCAGCTGGTCCAGATGAGACACCCAATTCTTCCCAGGGCAGTGGGAGACTGCTTTCCAGAATCTTCCAGCCAGCACTCAGGGCTCTTGGAGTCTTTCTGTCTCCAGAGCTCAGAGTCCTGAGCCCTCGTGGTGTGCGGGTATGTGTGTCCACATCAGCAGGCAACTTGTTTGTCAACAACCTCACACCAGGTAATGTCACTGCTAGAACAAGTAACACATTTGCTCAAGGAATATAAGAATCCAGGAATCTCAGGATCAGAATATCTTAGACTCACATAGAACCTTTAAAGGCCCAAAATGTTAACTGCAATCATCCCAGAAACTATAGTATGGTGTTTGGCAGTGTGGGTATGGGAAGCTGCCATCTGTGTTTGCGTCACAGCTCCAACACTCATGTGATGTGGCATAGGACAGCCTGGAGGTACCCTTGGCTCCCTGTCTACAAGTGAGGTGACACCCGCTCCGAGGCAAGGCTGCTGTGAGCTGATCTGGTGACATCGAGGCCCTGGTGAGTACACAGTGCTCTCCCATTCTCATTTCTAGAGTCCTGGGAAACAGAGACAGCGCCTGGCTGCAGACTTCCAGGCTCCAGATCTGCACAGTAGGAATCTCTGACAGCGAATGGTACCCCTGAGGGCCCCAGTCCATCACCACACACATGGGACAAGACCACACAGCCACACTCACACACAGACACCACATACCCTCATGGACACACACAGTACCCCTCACACAGATACACACACAGCACATGATCACAGACACACAACATATATTCATGCAGACACAAACACACATGTACACTCACAGTGTACAGCCACACAATCACACACAGGCAGTGCTCGCTTCAGTACAATATATACAGTCATACACAGAATCACGTGACACACAGTCATACAGACATCTTCACACACACAATCACACTCAGGCACACACGTACTATGCAGACACACAAACATCTTCACACAAATACACAATCACACAGACATGTACAACACATAAGATACACTCACACAGACACATCCATCCACACTCAGAGAATACAGACCCATTCATACACAATCACACACAGACACACACAACACCCACAGGCACACGTAACACATACACAATCCTATGTAGATATACACAGTCTGTATATCTGTATACACACACATACTCACATATGCACAGAACACACAGCACACACACATACACACACACATACACACACACACACACACACGAGTGGTGCAGAGCCTGCATCTGTGGTCTACAAAAAAGTCTGTGAGGCTGCAGAGAAGCTGCCTCCGAGAAGCTTCCAGCAGGCACCCCAGAGCCCCAAGCCCTGTCTGCTCCCTCTTCCGCATGACAGCCCTGCAGACGCCTGACGACAGCCACCCACCCTGAGCCTCATCTGCCCCAGGCCTCTTGTCACCAGCTCCCTCAACCATTCCTTGGATGACAATCTCCAGATTGGACATCTCCCCGGGACCCCTCCTCAGTCCTCCCCAAGCCTGTCCACTGCATCTACTTGGGCAGGGCCAGATTTACACCAGGCCACCCAGGCCAGAAAGGGCACTGATTTCTTGATGCTGGCCAGAGCTCAGGACCTGACTGGCAGCCCTGTCAACGAGACTGCAGCACCTACAGGGATGTAGTCCACTGGTGCTCTCAGATCCTCTTCAAAGCAGCTGAGCCATGCCATGGCTCCCTCTGATACAAAAAGGAATGGCTGAAGTTTGGCCCCCAAATGCATAACCTGACCCTAAACTTGCTGTGGTCAGGCCAGCTGAGCCTGGTTACATCTTAAACCCCTCCTTCCCCTGTCACCAAAATCAGTAGCAGCCCTCTCAGCTTTGCAGTGCCCTGGATCAATGAAATAGATCAGCAACTCCTCCCAGGAGAGCTAACAAGAATCACAGCCAGCACTTATTTTGGGGACCACCTACTGTACGCCAAGATCTTATGATAACCAGAAGCAAGCACTCTCGCTCTCTCCTTCTACCAGGGAGGAAAGTGAGGCACAAAGAGGTAAAGAGAATTTCCCAAGGTCAAGAGCCCCTCAGAGAAAGACTTAGGACTGGGATGTGGTGGCTGCAGCCCCCTCTCTGCCCTGAGTACCCACCCACATGTCTGTCACCAGGGCTTCAGTCACGTGCCGGCCAGCAAGGCTGCGTTGGAATTCCCATCAGTGAGTTTGAACATCCCCCAGCAGGCACCTCTGCTGATTAGTTTTTACTCACTCTGCAGTAATTAGGGTTTTGGTCTTACCTCAGCTAACAAATCAGGGTGCAGTGTTCCCTAATGGGAGAGTGTCCAAGAAGAAAGAGCACTGGCCTAGGAGTCCCAGGGTCTGGGCCCAGGCTCTGGCTCACCTGCCCTGTGTCACTAGGTCTCACCAAGCTTTGCTTCTTCTTGTATAAAATGCTGAGGATCTTATATCCCCGGCATTCAAGATAACAAACAGGAAGAGATTTGGAAAGTGCCTTAATGAACGGAAAACAGGGCCCATGCTAGGGACTGGAGGGGTGCTTTTAAGCCTCAGGAAAAGCCTTTAAGGTGGAAGGCATTATCCAGATTGTAAAAGAAGCCCACGCTGCTGTGATGCTAAGTGATCTGTCCCTCTGGGCCACAACCGCAGACTCATTCATCTGTCCCTGACCACAGAGGAGGGCACAGGGCAGTGTGCGATGTGGCCATGGCTGCTCAGGAGGGTGGCAGCAGAGAGGCAGGGGCCTGCCGCCCTTCTAGGGATGTGTCATTAGCCAGACAGCTCTGGTGGAGTCCAGGACGAGGAGACAGCAGATAGAGGCGATGAGGGAGATGAGAACTCTGAGACAGGGCTGGTTCCTGGAGAGACTGTGACCTCCAGGAGCATCCATTTTGTCCATTTCAAAGAAACCACTTCCTCCTCCTCCTCCTCCTCCTCCTCCTCCTCCTCCTCCTCCTCCTCGTCCTCCTCTTCTCCTATTCAAAGAGCCTCCAAAGGAGCCAGCACCTGCTCCAGAGGGTCCAAACACCTCGTGCTGTCCTCCGCAGTCTGCACCCCCATGTGGCACACACAGCCTGCTTCTCCACTCCCACAGCAAGAATGGATGCAAGAAACTGTGGCCATGTCCCCCCTTCCCACAGCTCCAAGTGCCTGGCCCAGGAGGTCAGCGGGCATGGAAACCCACAGAGAGATTTGATCTGTGCCCTTCTGTCCACTGCTGTGTTCCCTGGTGACCAGAACAGGGCCTAGCACCTAGTAAGGGCTTAATAAATGGAAAAAAAGAAAAAAAAGAAAAAGAAAGAAAGAAAGAAAGAAAGAAAGAAAGAAAGAAAGAAGAAAAGAAAGAAAAAAGAAAAGGAGTCAGAAAGTCTGATTTGTTTCCTTCCCTCTTTGCACTGGAAGCCACGGGGTGGACTCTCAACTCACACTGCCTGAATTTCAGGATCCGCAGCCCTCAGACTCTGAGACCCATGAACCCAGAGATCCACAAAGCACCCACAGATCCAGCTCTGAGCCCCAGCCCAGCCCCAGGACTCCTGGGGAAGCCAGCGTTCATGGAAAGCACTAAGCAGGGGCACATCTTGGGGATATGTGGGAAGAAAATGTTCTGCAGAAAAGAAAAGGAGGGAGGAAAGGGTCAGGGAGAAGGGGAAGGAGGAGGAGGAGAAAAGAATGGAGTAGAAGGGGGTGAAATGGAGGGGAGGAGGGGAGAGAGAGAAGACAGCACAGGCGGGAAGGGGCCCCTGCTCCCCCTGCAGCCCATGGGGTCTCTCTGGACCCCATACCCAGCCCAGCACCCTCTCTTTCTCTACATAGTTTTGAGCGCCCCGAATGCAGGGCTGGGAACTAGAGAACAAGGCAGCATGGGGAGACAGCTCAGATCAAGGAGGTACACAGGAGCCTGTTCCTTTATCTCGCAGAGCTCCAAGCAGCTGGGGCTGAGTCAGTGGGGGAGGGACAGGGACGGAGGGACCCCAGAAACACTCTGTCCTGGGAGCTGAGGCCCAGGAAGCCACATTTGGGGCTCAGAGGACAGAGGAGGGGGTGTGACGGAGACTGGGGAGGGAAACGAGAGGAGACCTTGCGGGAGAGGGGTGGCCTCTGGGCCCAGAAGGAACCACACAGAGGCTGCAGTCACGGGGATCCCCTGAAACTGCTCCCAGCTTGGCCATGGGGTGTCCCTGTCTGGAGCCAGAGGACTGGGTCGGTGAGCAGGGGGTTCTCATAGCAACCTCTCCCCACCTGCCCACCCAAGGTCAAGGGGAGTCAACCCACAGGATGTGGGTGCTGCCTGGCGCCCCCTGGTGGGCCTAGAAGATTCCCCTCTTCCTCACAGCCCTTCCAAAGCACCTGGAATGGAGATCAGGGGAGAGGGCATGGAGGGCTGATGGGCAGGACCGGGGAGACAGGGGCAGAGAATCAGGCTGCAGCCCCTCCCCCAAGCCACCATGGTGGTGCCCTGGGCTGGCAGGAGCTGCTCTGAGCAGCCAGGACCAGGGAGCCAGGACACAAGGCGGTGCCCAGGCCCTTGTGGGTGTAGGGAGGTTCACCAGCTTCATGCCATTTTCCTGTTTCCTCATCCACCCCAGACTGCAGTCCCAGGCTCCATCCTTGCTCATGTCACCCTGCACTGCCCTGACCTCTCACCAACCGGCCTCCCCTCCATCAGGCCTCAGGGGTAATGCAGAAGCAGGAAGGGGAAAGGGCGGTCTCCAGATGCCTGCCCAGTGCCCAGCCTGGCCCTAGGACTCATATCCTAGTAGAAAGAAGTTTGTCCTGAAGGGTGGACAGGAGTTTCCAGAATGGTTCTGGGGGCTGAGGGGGGACGTTGATCCAAGAGGCAACTTCACAGCATGGGCAGGGCCTCAGAGGCTGCCCAGGCCAAATGAGCCCTCCCTCCGGCCTGACACTTCTCACCTGCGAATGGACCCCACCACCTCACACACACAGACACACGCAGGCGCTCTCTCTCTCTCTCTCTCTCTCTCTCACACACACACACACACACACGCACACACACACACACACACACACACAAACACACACACCTGGCCCCAGAACAGACTCTCAAGGCCAGAAAATAGCCCAGTGGTCTCCTCAAACCGAGTCTCATCCACAGCTCAGGAGCACCAGGAACCCGAGCAGAAGCCACACACACAGGCAGCAGGGCTGGCTGACGCCTGACTGAGCCCATCCAGAGCCCCTCCCTGAGGCAGCCTGACCTCCCCCAGAAGAGGCCTGCCCGCCCCTGCCAAACCCTCTTGCCCCCTCCCCACCCCAACCCAGCAAACAATTAAAACCCAATCATCATGAACACTCATTATATAACCATCTCCAGCGCTGCTGAGGACTCTTTTTAGCCCCTGGAGTCCCAGCTCCGACCTGGCCTGGCTCCGTGAGGTGCAGCCTCGGTCACTGCCACCGGCTGGGGTACCGGGGCAGGGGGCCCCTCCGCCACCCAGCCTGGAGGAAAGTTAAACCCTGCCCAGGGTTCCCCCACTCCATCTCGGCCGTCTCTATCCCTCCGCCAACACTCCCAGCTCAGCCCGGCCGGCAGGACACCGGCACCAGCTCGGGTCCAGCTGGTCGCAGAGCCGCAGCAGCCGAGGGGCAGCGGGGACGCACGGATAGACAGCCTGGGCCGCGGCCGGCACCCTGACTTGTTGAATAAATTTCTGCAGCGCTGGCTCCGCTGGCTGTGGGCTTCGGTACTGGCACCAGGAGAACTTTGGTGGCCTTGGAGAGGGGCCCGGTCGAAGTTCCCCATCCTTCCTTCCTTCTCAGGGTGCGGGGTGGAGACCCCACCTGGGGGCTGCGCGGGGGGGGGGGCCGATCCCCGGAAATAAATACATAAATAAATACATACATACATACAAACGCCTCAGTAAAGAAAGAGCCCGACACGCAAACAGCCGGCCGCGGAGCCGAGCCCCCTGCGGCCCCTCTTCGCCCCCTCCCCACGCCACCTCCACCTACCTTCGCGGGGTCGTCCGGCCGGCGGGGTCGTCCGGCGTGGAGCCGCGGGAGCGACGCGATTCCTCGGAGCCTGCGGTCAGAAGGACCCCCAGCCCGGCCGGCCCCCGCCCCGC